TTCCTCAAAAATATAGCATATTAGTTACTGGTCGACTATACATTTGTTTAATTCCTAAAAAGCAATCTAACAGCGACAACGAGCATTGTTTCCAACTAGCTACTAGACGCTAGTTATTAAAATTGTGTTGCTTTTTGGAACTTTTTAATTAATTTTATTGAATTAATCTTTAATCATTTTATATATTTATATAAATTGCAGACTGATGACACATTTTAATGGTCATCACCATCGTAAATCCTGCAGTTTTTACGTTTCATCTGAAAAAAAAAATGTATTTACATGTATTATACTAAACTTTTTATATTGGTATAATAAAAAAAAAATGCAATGTGGCATCATGATTGTAATTTACCATTAACAAAAAATACATACTATTTAAATAGACGCTAGCTGCTACTTTACAGTATCGAATGAACGATTTGATTTTAACTAGATTATTTAAATTAGTTACATGTGTGTATTAGTGGTAACACAAACATTTTAATACATTTTAAGAGAAACAATGTTAATACAGCTTGCCATAACATTAACCTAAAACAATGGAAACAACTCGTGGCTCCATCTAGTGGTTGTTCTGAGGAGAGCACTTTTTTATTAATATCCATTTTCTCCACAATACCACTTTGGCTTACACGTAAGCACCTTCAGAGCGACACTTCACACAAACCATTGTTTAATAAAATTTGCTGTAAAAAGCATTAAAGATATTTATTTGATGCAGCTTTAATGGTTTAAGCACATTAACAATTTTGTAAAGCAACATGTCTGAAGATAGTACTGGACAGTATACATCAACCAAAATTTGTCAGAAACAGAATGATATCCATCCTGCCATTTAATTTTCCAAGTAACACTACACATCTAGTGTGTGTATTGCACAATCAATCTGATTTTAGAAACCTTGGGAGACCACATTGTCCCCATAAAGGTCACAGATACAACATCTGCATAAAATACCTAAAACAGATTGTTAATGACCAGGATAATGTGTTCGGTCCTCTTCTTCTCCAGCCGTAGGGGAGGACTGAGAACTTATCACATATAAACGGCTCTGAAAGAGAGTCCAGTGTCCCTTCTAAAAACAAGGATTGAAGTCTTTTTATTAAGCCGTTTCTTCCTCCTCGGTATCATCCTCGTCATCAGACTCTTCCTCGCTATGTTCCAAGTCCTTGTCATCTTCTGGGGCTGTTTTGAGTTTGATGATTATTTCGTCGTCGTCATCCTCATTCTCAACTCTGATCGACTTCCTCTTCTCCAAAACTGATGGGGTGCACACTGGAGTGATATCCTAAAAGAAAATAAATTGTCTTTCAACACTAACAATGCAAGACTACATATCTTAAACATTATATCTACAGTAACTGTTGGCACATGGGTTTCATTGTGAGTCACACTGACTGACAATAAGCTTAAAAATGTACCATTTTCTGTTGGCACAATTATCTTACTTCAGTCAATGGTTACAACTGAGGTAATTTTCAGTATGTGCCAAGGCTATGCACAAAATCAGTGCAGAAAACGAACAAACGACTTGAGCATACCTCACTGCATATGGAAACGTCTGCTTCTGATTGAGACTTCTTTGCAGGAATATGAGCTGCCTGAAAAAAAAGAAAAAAAAAAACATGGTCACACTAAAACACAATAGAATAGAGCATCTTAAAAGTTCTGATTAAAAACAACAACATAGTACTTACAAATCCTGGGAAATCATAGTCGATGCCTTTTGTTGCCAGTCTCTTGCGTAGCTTAGACTCTTTGCTTAAAAGCTTAGCACCAAGTTTCTTCAGATCATCTTCTGTATGTTCTTTGTTGTACCGGGTAACTGCAGGTTGCTTTGGCTTCCTGAAGACCATCTTGGAGCCAACAAAGAGCTTTCCATGGACCTTCTCTGGAGGTATTACATGACCTGAACCAGACAAAACACAGTAATATACTTACAGCATACCATGCAAGTAGAAAATATTCATGGAAAATCTTTCAAATCACTCTCAACTCACACTTTATGAGCCGTTCTCCCATAAGGTAGTTGTTCATGGTTTCAGCCACAATCTTAGCCACCTCATCACACTCAAACTCCACATATCCATAGCCTTTGCTCCCTCCGGTCTATGAAAGATGACAGTTTAATAATAATTTTAATGTTAAAATCTCAAGGCATTACTTGCTAGTATGACTATTGTGTGTTTATAATGTTGGCACATGGGTTTCATTGCACAACAACATGGAGTTGTCAATAAGCTAAATGTACCAGATTACTGTCGGCACAATTATCTTACCCAAAGCAACAAATGCCATGGGTAATTTTCATTTTGTGCCATTATTTATCAGTTTGGTTGATTAAATTAGCTACATGTACAGAGAACACCGACAGAAACACAAAGCTCTAACCAAATGGATTGTAAAACACGTGAACTACGTCATACCTTTTTACTCCTGGAAACTCTTAACCGTGAGACTTTCCCAAACTGCTCAAAATAAGATTTCAACTGAGGCTCGCACAATCCTCGAGGAAGATGACCAACGTATATTACTCCTGGAGAAAGTGACTGACCCTGAGGGGTGAAATCCAAATTAACATTACATTCAATGCAAAATATAAGGCAAGGCAACTAAGTTAAACACTTAAGCGCGTCAGACAAAATGGCAGCATAAAGACTGCAATCAATTATAATGTCATTAGATTTAATAAGAGGATTTATCTTTCCGAAACTAATTCTGGCTAATAGAGACGATTGATTAGATGATGCATTCAGTTGTACCCATGCTTCAAAGCTAAAATGTTTGTCAGGCTCTTACACTCACGCCACATGGTCACGCATCGTACCTTTTGAGGACGTTTCTTCGCTTGCTGGACCTTCTTTTGAAACTCTGCTTCTTCCTTTGGATTCAAAGCCAGCAGGGTTTTCGCCGGCTTCTTTGATGATTTGCCTTCTGTCATATTTAAATATAAAATTGTAGAAGTAATAAATCCGTTTGGACCTAGTGTCGTACTACGTCTTGTAACCCACGCTGCTCTTCGTTCAGGAAACTGGCTGCTTCATTCAGGAAACGTCAGAATAAAAGTCCACTAAAATAAAAGTCCGTGTGTAAAACATTTTTTAAAACTTGTTTATTGCTCCTCCTCAATTGTTCTTATGGTATATATTGATTATATATTTAGCTATTGTATAGTTATTGTGTTTTAATTATCATGATAACTAAATAATACTAAAACTATACAGTTAGACTCTTGCTTTGACCCTAGTAATTTATATGCCAGCAGAGGTGGACAAAGTACACAACTTCTTTACTTGAGTGAAAGTATACTAATGGTCAAATATTACTCACAAGTAAAAGTTGTAAAGACCGATTTTTACTTAAATAAAAGTACATAAGTAGGGCTACTTGTTTTGAAAATGAACTTAAGTATCAAAAGTTGAAAGTAAATTTCTTTTAGTATGAATATGTTAGCCTTACTATTAGCTATCTATTATCTATTAGTGTGCTCCAAAACCAGAAGCGGACAGAGTACACAGCTTTATTACTTGAGTAAAAGTACAGATACCCCTTACTAAATTTCCCCTAAATCCAGATCCAACTTCTCCCACCTTACATATACTTAAACCTACCCAGCTCCACCCCCTGATCCCTAAACCTACCTAGCTCCACTCCCTGATCCCTAAACCCATCTCTAAAAAAGCTCCACTCCCTGATCCCTAAACCTACCCATCTCCACCCCTCAGATCTGGAATAGTCTGGCGAGATGGGGCCATGGATTGGCACTTTCACGGGATGGACCTGCATCCATTGTTTCGTCTATGGTTTCATCTCTTATCTAAATCTGACCATGGAGATGACTTTGTCAAAAAGCTGAAGGTGATTGCTGATAGGCTGTCCCAATCAGTGGCGCTTGCACAATCCAATCACGTTTGAGAGGGAAACAACAAATTGAGGGTTTCCGAGATTTTCTTTTTCTTTTTCTTTTTCTTGTTTTGTTTTATTTTTTAGAAGTAGTAACGGGTACTCATGGTTATGGATAGAAATGTAGTGGAGTAGAGTACAATATTTTCCTCTCAAGTGTACTTGAGTAAACTCCAAAAATGATACTCAAGTAAAGTACAGATCCCTACTCAAGTAAATATACTGTTAATAGGCCTACTGTTAACAGTTAACTTACTGTTAATACTGTTAATATACAAGTAGGTAAACATATACTGTCCAGCTCTGAAATGAGAAAAATCGCATTTAGAAGACCAAACCTAAAGTTGAAATCGAAAATCAGGTTGATGTCAGTTGACTTCAACCCGACTTTCATTTCCAAACAAAATCCAACTTCAATCCGACGTCGGATTCTGACGTCAACCCGAATATCATTTTCAACCAGAATGCAACCCCTGTCCTGCAACCAAAATCATCCCCTGACTGACGTTACATTCAGGGACCTTGACAGAATTGTATGAAGTAAAAAGTAAGATTTTTGTCTTTCAAATCAAATGTAGTGAAGTTAAAGTAAAATGTTTCCAGGAAAAAAATACTAAAGTACAGATTGCCTACTCAAAAAGTGCATGTAGTTTGTTACTGTCATGTGTGCCAGTGTGGATTTACTTGTTCACCTAACAGTAATTAAAGGATTAAGCTATTACTGTAAAGTGACTTGAAATGGCCATTTCAACAATAGATGATCAGCTGCAAAAATGGTATGTTATATTTAGCCTAATTTTAATTATACAAATTTTAAGCTAATTGCTAACATGCAATTATTTTAAATGTGAAATTAAAAATAGCCTAATATTATTAATACTAACTATTAATAAGTACACTGAGAATTTTTTTTTAAACACTAAACATTTAGCATTTAAAATCCATTTATTTATTTATTAAGATTCAGGTACATATTACAAATACAGAGCAGGGTGAAGGGGTTGGACTCCATAGAGATGTTGAAAAGGGGGCGTGGTTTGAATGAAGGCTAAACCACTGGTGATGTTACACTGTACACATAGCCTATCGTTCAGCAAAGGTGAGAGAACAGCAGAGCATCACCTGACATGGCAACTAAAATCATTTATTTTACTGTAAATGGAAGACCAGAACAAGCGGAGTTTCCCATTGACTGTCCTGCACAAGATGTTAAAGGTAAGGATTGTCTCAAATGATCCATTTCTTTTAGTCTGACTGGAATTTTAAATATTTATTTAAACAATATACATAGTGAAGTTTTTTGGTGTGCTGTACTTCAAGGCACGCAGTTAAATATATATTATAAAATATAAGTTAAAATATATCTCCAAAGAATATTGTAGTGTATTGAGGAGATGGATGTTGAACTGAATAAAAATAAAAGCCTACATTTATTCAAATTAAATGAATGTAAATTATTCACTATATAAAATCTAGGCTAATTATTATATCCACCTTGCCTTGCCTTGCCTATGAACGACTGCAGCTTTAATTCATGCATCCACATCAAATATGATTTCTTATATGAAAATACGTTTTTGTTATGACCAAATTGTCTCTCTGCCCTCATTAGCCTTTATTCTACTAAAAACATCCCTGAGGACTGTTCTCAATCTCATTCTGAAGGGCACTGCAACAGCCAGGCGTCTTTAATCAGGACCTTTCAATTACAGCGAGCCCATATGAAGAGCTTTTCTGTTGACCTGGATATAGCTAATAGGCTACAACATGTTCGGAGGATGTTTAATCTATAAGTATCCAGTTCTCTAGAGAACCATTAGAGCTTTAATTACCTTTCATTTTTTGACTCAATGTGCATGGGTCAATTTGTAGTAACAGACTCGTAAAAAAGTAAACCAGTTAGACAGCTTGAGTCACAGGTGGTGCTGACAGTACACCAGACTTCAAGTGCCATAAAGGGACCATATGGCACCAATATTCCAGTGCGTTAATTACATGAATTGAGGAAGTTTCCATTGTACTTAATTCTTGGAGATGAGAAATATGATGATGAATTACATCTGAAACATTAATAATAAATATATGTGTCATCACAGATCTTTTCCGAGCTGCAGCTGAAGCGGGGCCTCATGACATCTTAAAACTCTACAATACTAAAGGCAATATCATTAATATTTCCCCTCAGCTGGCTCCCAACAGTCCTCAGTCCTGCTATAAGCTGGAAGTGGTTGCTGCAGACTGCAACAGTGAGCTGTTAGGTATTCTCCGCCATGAACACTAGAGTTTGAGTTGTTGAATTGTTAAATAATGAGTAAATAAAATGTTCTAGTAAATGATAGATGTCACATATGATATATGACCACTATATTTGGATCATGTGAACGCTCTCTTTTAGGTTCAGAGCTGGCCATTGCTCTGGGATTTGACCTCTCTTCTATGGAGAAAAGGTAAGTTTGGTTGGGACTGTTTTGGGGGGATAATCAATAGCCTTGAAACAGCATGCAACAGTAAATCATTTTTTGCATTCGGTATTACTGACATCAGGGTTTTGGCGAGAGGGCGGGGCTTTGAAAGTTGGCCAACACATGTTATGTGGCACAATATCTGGCTCTTATTTCACTCAAAAAACAAACAAACAAAAATACAATACATGTTATGAGTCTTATATACATCTTTTTCTTTTGAACAGGTTACAGAGCCTGGAGAAACTTTTTTTAGCTGAAGCAGCAGAGACTCCTGCCATCGTGTATGAGATGAAGAGACAGGTGGAGTCATTCAGAGAGAAACTTGAGGTCTGTGTATCTATCTATCTATCTATCTATCTATCTATCTATCTATCTATCTATCTATCTATCTATCTATCTATCTATCTATCTATCTATCTATCTATCTATCTATCTATCTATCTATCTATCTATCTATCTATCTATCTATCTATCTATCTATCTATCTATCTATCTATCTATCTATCTATCTATCTATCTATCTATCCATCCATCCATCCATCCATCCATCCATCCATCCATCCATCCATCCATCCATCCATCCATCCATCCATCCATCCATCCATCCATCCATCCATCCATCCATCCATCCATCCATCCATCCATCCATCCATCCATCCATCCATCCATCCATCCATCTGTAGTGTTTGTATTTTCTTTTTTGTTTTAATTCAAGATTTTACAGTTTTTTTTATTCGCTTTGGTACTATTTTTACAAGTAAGGTGTACATTTTCAAAACTCTTAGTACAAAAATCCAAACTGATCACACTTGTAACGCAGCTAGTCATTCTTTCAAAACCTGATGTAATGCTTTCAGTCAGTTGCACATGTTTTCAGTCCACATAATCATTATTTCAAACACAAGATTATTGTAATATGCAATGAGAACATTTGGTTTAATCACTGAAACACAACAATATGATCTTCTTTCAGTTTAGTACTTTTAACAATCAGTTCATCCAACAGCAAACAATGCAAGATACATGTTTCAAATCGGCCTTAGAAGTGCTGAAATGAATATGCTACAGTACTGAAAGACATATTACACAGTTTTACTGTAACATTAGGCAATACACTTACAGTACCCAACATTTACATAATCTATAATTTCCAAATATCCATCATATATGTAGGCCTAATCAAGGATCAATGAAGACATCCTCTACAATCATTTAGGCAAATTATAGTTTTTATTTTTCAGATAAAATTGTAACATAGGTATACTTTCTATAATGAAATGTAACTACGTAAATAAGAACAAAACATAACATTTAGTGCACACATTACTGTATATAGTGGCCAATTGTGGTTACCACTATGTGAAATCAATTAGCTGAGTATTCATCATGTGTGGTTACATGTAATTTACTTGTAAATATTCATACAAACACACATTTTATTTCTGTAGTTCTCAAAATCCATACTGTATATTGCTGAATTGAAAATCTATAGGTTTACCAAATGATTACAGTTTTTTACAGTCGCTAGGACACATTTCTCAATACTTAGGTCACTTTTTCAAAACTCTTCACACAGTTCTCCTAACCAGCTTTCAGCTCAGCACAGCAGTTAATTTCACATTCAAAATGCACTGAAACTACCAAAACACTTCATTCATTTCTCAAATCTACACATTCTTCCATAACACTAGCAAAGGTTGACAGCCAACAAACACACTTTGTCACCCACAAAACAATGACCTAAAGAACACTAACAACATGTAGCATTATACAATCTTTGTTTATAATTCACTGCAATATAGTTTACTGGAATGAATCAGACATGATGCAGAATGCTTCAATATATTTTATGTCTTATTTTTATTTTTTTGCACTGAGTAATTCCAAAATACAAGAATTTGTATACACACCATCCACTGATACAGATACAATAGTAATGTTACAGTATTCTTCTTCCACCACGCACACGTATTCCTCGCCCCCTCCCAGCCCCTCTTCTTCCTCTTTCAGCCACTTCTCTGTTTCTGGCTGGGTCCATGTTTACATCACAATACAAAACTATTCAGCAGTTGTCTCCTTTTGTAATGAAATAGAAAGAGTAACACCTGTGTAGATGTTCATCTACAATGAGAATCAGCTGTGGTTGGTCCAATTGTCCACTTATTTTTATAGCATTTAATTTTAAGATGCAAAATATATTTCATTAAAAATATTACTGTAGAAATGTAGCAAATTGGTGTCTTATTCAGTTTTGTATTATGTTGTTGTTTTGAACATAAGTTTAACAGTTTTGAAAACAGTGTGTAAGCATATGCAAATTGGCCTATATGAACACAGAGTTTTGGCGGTTGTTGTGTCGAAGTGAGAAAAGAATTAATGTAATTTGAAAGAGGTAGTCATTGAATGCATTTTGTGCCAAAGCAATGATAATTGATCCACAGTTTAGCCCACATATACTTCTGTTGTGCTCACTGTGTGAAGAGTTTTGAAAAAGTGACCTAAGTATTGAGAAATGTGTCCTAGCGACTGTAAAAAACTGTAAACATTAGTAAGATCAGTTGGATTAAATAATAGACAAAAGTATTAAACTGAACAAAAAGAGATGCAAATCAAAAGTTTGATAGTAAGAGCTTTATGAAGGCAGTTACTGTGATTGAAACAATAATGTAGATGAAACACTTATTTTGTGTTGTGAAAAGGATGCTTTGTGATTGTGTGAATTGTACTAACACAGCTGAAAACATGATGAAATGTTTGAAAAAAGTGCACTTTTGATGATCTGTTGTGATATTAGCACTAAGAGTTTTGAAAATGTACACCTTACTTGTGAAAATAGTACCAAAGCGAATAAAAAAACTGTAATCTTTCTACCAGTAAAAAAAAAGTTTTACAAGTATAATGAATGAATGAATGAGGCATTTATAGCACGTTCATACTACTGTACACCCAAAGCACTTTACGATCATGTCAGATAATCTCTTCTCAAACGCCACCGGTGTGCAGCATCCACTTTATAAAACAATGTCTTTCTGTAGAGTGTTGAGCACCTGAGCTGGCTGGGACTGTTTAAGGACATGTCGGAAGGCACCCACAAGCCCTCCCCTTTCTACCATAAAAGAACCCTGCGCAAGACCCGTGAGGAGTGTGAGCATGTCAGGGAAAAGTTCCTCCAAATGAGGTGACATTCCTGACACTTACAAATGTGTATTTAGGCAATTAAAAAAAGAACTAAAAGAATTGCTTCTGGTTTATTTTCTCTAGTTCTTTGGAGGTTTCTGAAAAGGTGAGACAGTATCTTAAAACACCGACCTTTGATAACTGGTAAGTGTTTCCTATATAGTGAAGTATTCACACAGAAATGCACATAGACTTTCTTTTCCTTCTTATGTTCACCATACATAATAGTTAAGAACAGTTTTGAAAAAAGGAAAACTTTTGTTTTACCCAGTTCCTGCAACACATCAAAGTCCTGCACCTGTAATACATGAATAGGAAATTGTTAGTGAAGCAAAGAACAGCACTTCTAAAATAAGCATAACGAACACGGCCGAGGTCAGGCCTTTCATCTCACCTCATATCAATATCAATGGCCCTGTTTGTGGTTTACAAATCAAAAGCACTTCTTGTGAGCAAAGGGCTGGAGCTGAGTGTTCATTATGCAGTAGTCTTCCTTCATCTTGTTGAAACCAGGCTTTAGCTTCAGATTAACACAACGAGATCCTTCTAAGGGGTTAACAGGAAAATAAACTTGTTAGTTTTAAATTAGCCTCAAATAAAGAGCCATTGCAGGCAATGGGAGGATGCTGAGATGATGGTGCTGCTCCAGGTGATGTACACAGATCTGGACTTCATCTCCACCTTCAGCATTGAGCTGGACGTGCTGCAGCAGTTTCTTTATGAAGTGTACCGACGCTACAATAACATCCCCTTCCACAACTTCAAGCACTGCTTCTGTGTCACTCAGATGGTAAGAGTGGGTGCAATCAGCGTTTCAGGATTTCTCCCAATCACTGCAATTGTCCACTTCTCAATCTGCTTGATTAGTAAATATCAGGCCCCACACAGCCGCCATTTCACTCACACCACTGCTGATGCAATTTTACTAGAATCAGTCTATCCAGTGGGTGATTGTTGTTTATCAAAGCCATAAAAAAGAAAATTGTGTATTTATGTTTTTGAAGGTCAGTGAAGAGTATAGGTAAGTCATCCATCCACCTATCCATTCGTCCACCCATCCATCCACCTATCCCTCCATCGTTCCATCCATTGATCGATAGTTCCACCCATCCATCGTCCAACCATTCATCCACCTATCATCCATCCACCTATCCATCCATCGTTCCATCCATCTACATATCCATCCATCCATCCATCCATCCATCCATCCATCCATCCATTCATCATTCCATCCATTCATCCATTGTTCCATCCACCAATCCATCCATCATTCCACCCATCGTTCCATCCATTTGTTCCATCGTTCAATCCATTGTTTCATCCACCCATCGTTCCATCCATCAGTTGTTCCATCCATACACCCATTGTTCCATCCATCCATCGTTCCATCCATCGTTCCATCCATTGTTCCACCCATCCATCCACCTATCCATCCATCATTCCATTTATCCATCGTTCCATCAATCCAGTGTTCCATCCACCTATCCATCCACCGTTCCATCCATCATTCCATTGTTCCTTCAGCCCATTGTTCCATCCACCTATCCACCCATTGTTCCATCCATCCACCCATCCATCCACCTATCCATCTATCCACCCATCCTTCATTCCACACATCCATCCATTCATCCATTGTTCCATCCAACAATCCATTCATCGTTCCATCCATTTGTTTCATCGTTCAATCCATTGTTCCATCCACCTATCCACCCATTGTTCCATCCACCCATCGTTCCATCCATCAATCGTTCCATCCATACACCCATTGCTCCATCCATCTATCCATCCATCCATCTATCCATATATCCACCCATCCATCCATCGTTCCATCCATTCATCCATTGTTCCATCCACCAATCCATCCATCGTTCCATCCATTTGTTTCATCGTTCAATCCATTGTTCCATCCACCTATCCACCCATTGTTCCATCCACCCATCGTTCCATCCATCAATCGTTCCATCCATACACCCATTGCTCCATCCATCTATCCATCCATCCATCTATCCATATATCCACCCATCCATCCATCGTTCCATCCATTCATCCATTGTTCCATCCACCAATCCATCCATCGTTCCATCCATTTGTTTCATCGTTCAATCCATTGTTCCATCCACCTATCCACCCATTGTTCCATCCACCCATCGTTCCATCCATCAATCGTTCCATCCATACACCCATTGCTCCATCCATCTATTGTTCCATCCACCTATCCATCCATCGTTCCATCCATACATCCATCATTCCATCCACCCATCCTTGCAGTTGCATGTCGTAATTAACAATAATGTACGTTGTATGTGAATTTAAATACAAATGAAATGATTGTATATACATTATAATACTGTAATTATATTTTAATATAATTATTATACTCTTTATATATGTATTCATATATAAAAATAATTATTAATATATAGAATTATAATAAACTATTAATTTATACATTTTTAATTCTGCTTTTGAATTGGCCCACTAAGAACAATCCTTACTACTGATATCTGGGTCCATTTGTTTGTCAGATGTATGGGCTGATATGGCTAACAGATCTCAAAAGCAAGATTGACAGTATTGACCTTCTCATCATGCTGACCTCAGCCGTCTGTCACGATCTAGATCACACCGGCTACAACAACGCCTACCAGGTGAGATGGACGTGGTCACAATTCTGCCGCTGTTCAGTAATAAAGAGTAAAGTGACGGAAATATGTCGTTACAGATTAATGCCCGAACTGAGCTTGCGTTGAGATACAATGACATCTCCCCACTGGAAAATCACCACTGCGCTGTAGCCTTTGAAATGCTGGAAAAGGTAAACTTTTGTTCAAGATACGAATCACAATCACAGGTTTTTAAATACATATTTTGAATAAATGTAAATTTAAACTTTGATTATTTTTTTGACTTGCACTGATTTGAATTTTACATTTTAAATTAAAATATATCTATATTTAGCATATATTCAACCATTTATAGCCCTTCAAACTGCACGGTATGGTAATACGACTAATTCTTTAGTATGCAGTATGTATATGCACGGTATGCACATTTGTGCAAGAAATATCATCATTCATTTTTTTCAGAATGAATGCAACATTTTCCGAAACTTGCCGACAGAGCACTACAAAAGAATAAGAGAGGGCATAATTAAGTATATTGTTTATTCATCTTTATTCTCAACAACTATATCCATATTAAACCAAACACAGATTGAAACTGAACTACTTGTCACTACTGCAGATGTATTCTCGCTACTGATATGAGCAGACATACAGAAATCCTCAACAAGTTCAAAACCATTCTCCCTGTTTTCGACTTCAGCAACAAGGATCACAGAGATGTGGTAAGGATAACCCAGAAGACCCTAGCAACCACATAGCAACACCCTGACAACCACCCATTTCACCTTACAGCATCATTAAGGCGAGTGTGACACAGGAAAATAAGTTACATTATGTTCAGAAAAAGAAAAATGTTGTTTAAATCTAGTTTAGCTGCAATAAGCGTTCAGCGTTTAGGACTGTTGTTGACGATGATCCATTCCTGTCCGTCTGCTTCTTTCGCAGTTGATGATGATCATTATTAAAGTAAGTGATATATCCAATGAGGCGAGACCCATGGATGTGGCAGAACCGTGGCTGGACTGTCTGCTGCAGGAGTTCTTCAATCAGGTACTGTAAATATGGCTAACATCTTGTTTTTATGGACTTATATAATAATCAAACCTATCCCAGTGTCGTGCACAAATTTCATTTTAAACAATAAACTGAAATCTTTGTCCAGAGTGACATGGAGAAGTTGGAAGGTCTTCCTGTCACCCCGTTCATGGATCGAGACAAAGTAAACAAACCGTCTTCTCAGACTGGTTTCATACGCTTCGTTCTCTTTCCTCTCTTCATCGAACTGGCTAACCTGTTCCCCTGTCTGGAGGTGAGGAAGTTCCCAGAGGAACATGTTTGTGACATAACTTTCAGAGGTAATCAGGTCAACATTTTTAGGGAAAGATTTTTGGCTGTTTTTCATTATGTATATATTCTCAAGGTTTTGACGGATGGGTTTGTTAATGTATTATTTACCTGATTTATTTAAATAATTGTTCCAAAAAACATGGTGAATTATTACTATTTTTTTACCGTTGACACTAGGCTATTTTCTGATTTTATATTTTTCACCTTAAGGGATAGTTCACTTTGAAATTAATTTTTGGTATGTTTTAGCTTACCTCAAGGGCATCCAAGATGTAGGTGTCTTTGTTTGCGCAGTATTTTCAATTTAGATATTTTAAGGTCAAACCGTTCGCGTCTATCAGTCATATAATGGAGGTCTATGGTCACCACCTCAAAGAGCATGCACAGAGAAGTCCAAATTAAACATGATTTAATGACTCATAAATGTAAGTACATATTGATGGATAGTAGTCACGAAACGAACAGTTTGTGTGAGAAATCGAACAGTATTTATATAGTTTTTACCTCTTGTTACCACAGCAACATCCAAGTAATCTGAGGGCGCGGGCGCTTTGTGACTGTGGTTACAAGAAGTAAAACAATATAAATACTGTTCGTTTTCTCACACAAACCGCTCGTTTCGTGCCTTAGGCCATCAATGTGTACTTACGTTTATGAGTCATTAAATCATGTTTAATTTGGACTTCTCTGTGCATGCTCTTTGAGGTGGTGACCATAGACCTCCACTATATGACTGACAGACAAGAACGGTTTGACCTAAAAATATCAAAATTGAAACTACTGTGGAAACAAAGACACCTACATCTTGGATGAACTTAGAGGTAAGCTAAAACATATCAAAAATTAATTTCAAAGTGAACTATCCCTTGAGGGGTGTCCACCTCAAACCCTGGAAGGCCACTCTCGGCTGTTTCTGAAATCGCCCCTTATATACCGCAGTTACGAGGAGACATCCATTTGTAGTGGTGTCCGAAACAATAGTGGACGTCATCGAGTGCACTCATTCAATCCATAATGCACCGTAATATGTGTAAGTTACCACTGATGTATTAATTAGAGAATACCCATAATTGTATTTTCTATGGCACATTTATTAAAGCCAATTTAATGTCCTAATTGAACTAAGGGTATAATCCCGGTTTAAAGGATTAGTTCACTTTAAAATGAAAATTTCCTTTAGCCTACTCACCCCCACATCATCCAAGATAGTCACATCTTTCTTTCTCGAAAAGAAATGAAGGTTTCCGAGGAAAACATTCCAGAATTTTTCTCCATATATTGGACTTCAACGGTTTGAAGGTCCAAATTGCAGTTTTAATGCAACACATTTCTGACGTAATGTTGTCTAAAAACTGTGGAAAATGTGAATATTCCTTCATGCAGTTCTTTGGATCATGTACAAATATTTTTTAACACTTACTTCTAACCTTCTAACAGCAACACATTATTGACCCAGTGCAGAAAGCCCTGGATTATTACACAGAGATGGAGAAAGCTCTGGAGAGGGAGAAACAGAACCGGACCTCGAGTGAGGTGGTCAAGCCAAGCACCTCAAAAGAGTCAGAAGCTCACCCAGAACCCTGTGGGACGTCAAAACCAGTCAACCTGTAATAGCCTCAGACTGTTAAATGTTCATTCTATGATGAAAGTTGCGCTTTAAGGCTTAAAGTAAATGTATTAGGCTTTTTTTACCAGCAAAATGTGCTCTTTTAATAGTGGAGGGCACAAGTGAAAATACTATTTTCCCTCTTTGTCTATCTTTTGCATTTAAAATCACAATGAGAACTGTTTTTCTGTCAATGAATGTAGTGAACATGCACAGTCAGCCCAGAGGATGGCGCTACTAAAAGCTACAATTTCTTTGCCAGAAGAGAGGAGGCTGAAAATTTAACTTTTCCATTAAATTATTGAAATAAGAGAATTGTTGTAATTGACTGCAGTAGGTCTGAAATATAGATCATGGTCACAGGTTTACTGACACTGATTTTTCAATGGGTCAAAAACAGAAATGAAACCATCACAAGACTTTTACATCCAAATTTATTTTACAAAAGAAAACTTGCTTCTCTTTACACATCTATTTCCCCAAAAAACATATAGTGTTTCTTTAATCTGATTATGCAAATGGAATATTATGCATGCAGTTTTGCATTACTCTCAAATACCATCCTGCACAAGTAATACCCACAATTCCATTTGAAGCCATTAAGTTGCAGGTAAAGCATTAGCATGCAGCACTGTACACTTTTGCATAGTAAATGGCGGTCATTTATTTTGGATTCATTTCTCATCGTCCTTTACCAACATGCCATTGCATGAAACTGAACTTTAACTGAGGAACAAAACAAAAAAAAAATCGATTCTCAGGATGGAAGGGTCAGTGAAACTCATTCTCCATGGTTTTACCGGGGTAGTGGTGTGAATTTAGGAAGTACATTGTTTGTTTTTACAAAATGAATTAGGTCTGTCCAATTGTTGAATAATTTTAACCATATAGAATGACATTTAAAGCTAAATATAGGATGAATAGGCTTAACACACATTTAAATACATCCCCAGAGCTCTCAAAGAGGCACAGAAAGTAACTTTCTGTTTGCAAAATGAATAAATAAAAAGAAAATACCTTATTAAAAGGTTAAGGCATAATGTTACAAACAGGGAATGTCTTGATGTCTTGACTACAATTTAATATATATTATATATAAAGCAATGTCCTGAGTGTTGGCTACAATACTGACACCAAAAATGATTTAAATTTAAAATGTAGATAAATATGGCAAGCCGTTTTAACTTTTATTCATTTCCAGGATATGAATTCTTGATATCATCAATTGTATTTTCACTAGTGAAATGTCACCATAGGCTGCCTTTCAAAACCAATTGTTGATATCAAGAATTGACTAGTTGAAATTCCAATTTCACATATCAAAAATACAATTATTACTAGTACAAACCTTTATTTTTGATATCAAGAATTCAATTGTTACTAGTTGAAACGTCTATTCTTGATATCAGCAATTGAAATGCTACTAGTAACAATGTTCATTTTTGATATCAATAATTTAATTTTTCTAGTGACAATATTAATTTCTGATATCATGAATGTGAGTGTTACTAGTAAGAAAGCCATTTTAGATATCTGAAATAATATTGATATCAGAAATACATTTTCAGATATCTAAAATGAACATTTTTACTAGTACCAATTGAATTGTTGATATCAAGAAGAGACATTTCAACTATAGTGACAATTTAATTATTGATATCAGGAATTCACATTTTTACTAGTAACAATGTAATTATTGATATCAAAAATGATATTTCTACTAGTAAAAAATCTATTCTTGATATCAACAATTAATTTTGAATGGCAGCCTATGGAGAAATTTCACTAGTGAAAGAATCCTGGAAATGAATAAAAGCTACAATGGCTTGCCATAGACCAAAGGACCTTGAGATGTAATTATGGCATATACCAAAAAATATGTTTCTTTACCAAAAACAAAAATAAAAAACCTCATCTGGAAACAACAATTAACTATTGGTTAATTTGATAATGTCCTCAAATAGAAAAAAAGGTTTCATAAATAGACTAAATAATGTCTAGATTGTTATTTTAAGCACACGATTCAAGTCACTATAAATAAATTCATATTTAGTCAACTGATTCCCAGTAGCCGACTAAGGTCCCAATTAAACCCATTTATAGTGTGAATCCTCACATTATGACCCAGAGAGTGGTACAGAACCTGCTTTAAACAGGACAAATGAATTGTGTTTTTTCTATAATAGTTTATGAAATATTGCACATGGATAATGGAGGTGGGCAGGGGAAATGGGGGTGGCAGTGATCAGAGAATAAGGACACTTTACCAAAACTACATCGACTTCTACTGGCCCCTCAAATCCAGTAAGAAACGTTTAAAAAACGTTCTCTGAACGTTATCTAATGCTACGTACATTATATTCTGAAAATAGCCTACTGACAGACATAATTTCTTTCTTACTGGTTCAGCACATAGCAAATCCAGTAGTTTATTACTATCAAAGCTACCTCTTCATATCGGCTAACTGCTCTCAGGTAGAACTTAAAGCAGAATGAAAACTGGGTCAATCCAGTCATTTCAACACCAATCACATACAAAAACATACTATTAACACTCAGATATGATTAAACCAACTATATGAAGCCACTGAAGTATCAACAATGCTTTTGTTCTCTCTCTGTGCATTACAAACGCACACACAACACAACACAATTAAGGTAATCAAGTCAGATCACAGAACTGTTGTGATATGTAATACCAAGAAACGAGTCGAGAAAAAATGCACGTCACATTTAAATAACTGTGCTAACATCAAATCGAAGCATTGTCTGGAGCCATTTATCACAATGAATACAAAAAGACAAATAACAATGCGAAATTAAAATCGAAAAAAGTCATAGTTACATAAACCATCAGCACAACCAAGTAGTTTTGCACATGCAAAGGCAGAATGCATGATTTGTTCAAATGTGCACTTAGAAATACAGTGAGTGAATCAGGCCCAGTGAAAATAATGGTAACACTTTACAATACGGGTGCACTAATAAGCATTAATTCATGCTTAACTAATGCACAGATAATATTGAATTAATGTGTAACTAATGATTATCTAAGCTATTCATTAATGATTACCACATTAGGAACTAATTAAGAGTCTGTAAGGTTAATGTATTAGTTCATACATGAATTGTTACTAATTAAATATGTAATTGTGGATTAATTTCATAATAACTCATTTTTTTAGCTAATAGTGTTAATTAATATGTTAATTACCAGAATGAGCCTAACTCCAGATAATATGAAAGGTACACTAATATGCATTAATACATTATTAATTACTTAATTGTTAGTGCAAATTCATGTGTAAATTACTACAATTACTAAATTACTAGTTAATAATGATGTGCCCCATTAAGTAAAGTCATAACATAATGATACCTTTGCAAATCATTAGCTAATGATTAATTAAAGAAGACAACTGGAAGTTGAAGTGCATAGCTTTGACTAATTGTGGTAATTAACACATTCATTTACACTATTAGTTAATAAAATATGTTATTAAGGAATTAATACACAATGACACATTGAATTAATAGCAATTCATGCATTACTTAATCTATTAATCATATGGACTCTTTATTAGTAGCTAATGCAGTAATTATTAATTAATGGTTTAGTTCTTCATTAGTTATACATTAACTCGTGATTATCTGTGCATTAGTTAAGCATGAATTAATGTATTTTAGTGCACCCGTATTGTAGAAAAACATGTTTTACAGATAAAGCTTTCACGCAGTGTTTTGTGTTACTCCTCAGCTGCGCAACGCAAGTGCGCACACATTATAGTAGGTACTACATTTGGTTTGAAACTTGCTTCGCAACGATTAAAAACGTATGCTCTATGTAGTATGAATGATATACGCCGTCAGTTGCATCGCTTCACTACCATTCATAAATCCTCTCCCGTGGCCTCATGGGATAGTAAAGTGTCCATCAAATGCGCACTACGGAATCTCGCCGGAAATAGTAGGTCATCCAGGTACTTTTCGCCTACTGTTTTATGAATACTATGAATTCGGACACACTACTTGGATCACATACAGTTTTTCGCCTTTAAATAGCAAGGAAGTAGGCATATTCGGACACAGGGTTATTTTAATATTCTGGTTCGTTTAAAAGACAGAAATGAGTGACTGTCTGACACTTGAGAGCAGAGCCGGATTAGCACTGGGCATTGAAGCTCATGGGACCCCTACCTGACCACCACACCCTCTAAAGGAGGAGATACAAATATAGTGACAACCAGCAAAGACAGCTGACCTTTGCATCACAAGACCCACTCCACAAATGCAAACACACACAGACACAGGCCCACCCGGTGTGGGATTTGACATGCCAGATCACGAGGTTTTGTGCTCGCGCTCATGACAGGTGAACACCGCCACTTCATTCGACGCTCATGTGCCCTGTATTTACTCCCTTTTCAGTTTAGTACTTTGTCCGTTCTCTTTTATGGCTTACATTGGTTTGCTGAGTGTTACACATTTATAAATAATGACTCCTAAGTCTCGCCATGCGTGCTGCAAGCCAACCCGAGACAAAACAATGCATTTTCTTTTACAGCTTGTATGTTGTATCTTAGTTTGTCTAAAGTCTAATTTTATTTCTAATACTCCGTACCTCCTACAGCAACCAGAGACTATACTATTGGTCAGGCACACACTAAATAGCTCAAGATTAGTAGTAGTGATAATAGTTCATGACTGTTTCATAAAGCTTAAAGGATTAGTTCACCCAAAAATGAAAACTGTCAGTTTTTACTCACCCTCATGTTGTTCCAAACCCGTAAGACCTTCGTTCATCTTCGAAACACAAAGTAAGATATTTTTGATTAAATCTGAGAGCTGGATCCCTCCTGCATACCAGTCCATAGGCTTCCTGAGGGATTGAAACTTGCCGGACCCGAAAAGTTATTAAAGACATCGTTAAAATAGCCCAACTGACTACAGTGGCTCAATCTTAAGTTTATCAAGCGATGAGAATACTTTTTGAGCGCAAAAACAAACAAAAAGAACTTTATTTCAACTATTAATTTCCTTCTTTGTGCGCCTCTAATCCAGACTGATCTCATGAAATGGCGTATGTATGAGATGCCAATTCGTATTTCCATTTTTGCCGTGCTATCAACTAATCGTGCATAATCTCTTTTCAGCGTGTTTATGATTGCCGTTGACTTAACGTTACATTACTGTATATACACGTAAATATATGACCTACCCCAACCTCATCCCTAAATGTAAAAAAACGTAAATGGAAAAAAAAATATCGCTCCCAGATGTAGATCTAGATTTTGCTTCGTTTCGCTCGGACATGTAACGGCGTGTACATACATGCATACACACGGATAGCTCAAAATGCGTATAGATAACACGCCACTTGACTTGAAAGTGGCGTGTATGTTTACGCAAAAGTCATGATGTCTTGTTGTCTAATCAGTTAACGTAGTGTGATAAGGTAGAGCTACGTCACACGTAGGCTCACTATTGGCCGACGCTGGTCATGTGTGTGATGCGTGTGACGTACAACAACAAAAGCTTGTGCTGTTACACTAGTGAACTAACTCGAGGGAATACAGTAAATAGCTGAAATAAAGTCGTTATTTTTGTATTGTTTTTCGCAAAAAGTATTCTTGTCGCTTGATAAACTTAGGATTGATCCACTGTAGTCACTTGGACTACTTTAACGATCTCTTTAATAACTTTTCGGGCCGGAAAGTTTCAATCCCTTAAGAAGCCTATGGAGGAGTGATCCAGCTCTCAGATTTAATCAAAAATATCTTAATTTGTGTTCCGAAGATGAACGAAAGTCTTACGGGGTTGGAACAACATGAGGGTGAGTAAAAACTGGGTGAACTATCCCTTTAATAGGGCAGGGGAACTTTTTCATGACTCAAAGACAGAATGGATCTCCACTCAGCTGCCACATATACAGTATCTATGATACACACAGTATTGTGCCATTTCAGTCAGAAAATAGAATGTAATACGCAGCTCAAACCAAACTCCTGAGAATCTCACAAAACATGCTCAGGTAACACTGGACAAAAGAAAAAAGTTAATAATTACATAGCATAAAGAAAATAATATAGATATAATGAAATGAATTATTTAATTTGACCAAATAACGGAGTCATTTAAAGTGATAAATCCACCTGATATGGCTTGTTTGGACTAATTTCTTTGCAATAGAGGCTGTGTCTGAAAACTTAGGCAGCTGACTTGGCTGATAGTTGCCTCGTGCCTTATCAGGCAATGACTTTGTAGGCACAAAACAAAACTGATTTCAGACAGACTTCTGAGGCAGCGTAACGGTTTAATGATGTACACTACAGCAAAATAGCGCAAGCTTTGGTGATAACTAAGCAAATATTTAATCGCTACAAGTAGTGATGATTTCTCTCTAGAAATTACATCAGAAGTAGATTTACACCCAAACTGACTGCCAACCGCAACTTTCAGATGCCATCTTTATTTTTAAGCTCAGCTGTCACAGAATGGAGCACACAGTATTGTGCGATATCAAAGGCAGCGAAGGATACATGCTGATATAAAATCAGATCTTACCAAACAGGAAATTAAGCTAGCATTGGATTCAGACTTTCCTTCATGCCACCCTACCTTTGAATGCATCCTCCGATGGCACCATTTTTAAGCTTTCGGACGCAACCAGCATCTCACATGTAGGCCTGGGGAAAGCGCTGAGCGAACTACAGGCATTATGGTGTGCATAAAAAAAAAAAGGAAAATTTGTTGCAACATTTTGTATTCTGCTTGAAAAGTGTCACTATGAAAATAAGACCAGGGGAAAAGAAACCTCTTAGATTTTGCCACCTATGAAGCTTTCTGATCCGGACCTGAGGCTGTCTGACTCTGGCCCAACCAAAAATATACTAAGACAGGAAGAAAATAGACCAGTGAATGCATGACAGTTCCATAGGCTACTGAAATCGTGCAAAAAGGCTCTGTGCTGATTGGCTCTTGGCACCGCTGAGCATTTCTGCATGCCGGCACTAGTTCAGGGTGAAAATTAGCATGCCACCACAAAGAGTCCTGCCAATATAGACAGTGCAGGGCTTTGGTTAGCAATTAGACGCAGAGCTTAGGCCTCAACTAGGAGAAATTGGATTGAACATATGGTGCTATAGTTCTCACTCCTCCTGGAGAGCATCTTATCTCAACCATTGCAGATTAAATCAGCACCCCCGACTGCCTACAGTAACAAAAGATGCTCATGGCTGCTAACTGCCTTACATAGATGGACCGGGTGCTTGGATTTTGCCTTTAGTTAAGATGGCCCATAGATGGGAATCTGTGCTAACACAATTACATGAGAGATATCTCATAGCTCTGGCTGTACTGGTTTGGATGTTCAGAGTCTATGCCGCGAGTCGTTACTGTAGCCCCCAGGGGAGCCCCGGTTGCGGTGAGGTTTGTATGCGTCTTGATAGGGATCATGGTAGTCCTCCTCTACAAGAGGGTAGTGGTCTCGACTTTGCTGGGAGCTGGAGGACAGGCGGTTGTTACTCTTCTTTTGCCTCTCGTTGTTGTGGTAGTTCTCATCGGAAGTCATCAAGCTGTGTCGCTCCATTGGAGAGTTGTCGCTGATGTGATTGCTGTTTTTATTTCTTTGACTCTGTTGAAAGGTCAGTGATATCAGCTGTTTCTACATGTTCTGATTAGCCTATTGAAATATTCCAAACTAATTTTTTGGCTAAGTCTCAAGCCTTCACTCACCTGTAGTCCTGTGATGGCTGTGGGGTACGGTGAGAGCACAGTGGAGCCCAGGTTGCGGCCCAGCAGAGGGTTTAGTGGAGTGCTGAGGGAAGTGTGAGTTGCGCGCCAGTAGGCCTCCAGAAATTCAGCAAGATGTTCACATGCATCCTCGAGCTGATTCTCATCCAAAATCACGTCAAACATTTCCTGGAATGGGACAGGAACAGCAACCTAGTCAATGTTTCAATGTTAAAGGAGTAGTTCACTTTTTAAAAAAAAACTTTTGCTGATAATTTCACACCCTTGTCATCCAAGATGTCAATGTCTTTCTTTCTTCAGTCGAAAAGAAATGAAGGTTTTTGATGAAAACATTCCAGCATTTTTCTCCATATAATGGACTTCAATGGGAACCAAACAGTTCAAGGTCCAAAAGACAGTTTCAGTGTAAACTGCAAACTGTTCAAAGGGCTTTAAACGATTTCAGACGATGAATGAGGGTCTTATCAAGCGAAACGATAACTCATTTAATAAAAGAATAACAAAGTTTACGTTTTATAAGTTCAAATGCTCAGCTTACTCGGTTCTGTGTGACTCTCCTGTTCAAAATCGCTCATCAAAATGAACAAATCTTTTTCCGAGTCATTTGGTTCATTCAATGAACAAAACGAATGAATTGACTCAGAAAAAGATTCGTTCATTTTGATGAACGAGTTCGAACAGGAGAGTCACAAACGTGCGTCCCAGAACAGACCAAGGCGAGCGCATTTGAGCTTATAAAACTTAAACTTTGTTATTTTATTTTTAAATGAGTGATCGTTTCGCTTGATAAGACCCTTATTCATCGTCTGGAATCGTTTAAAGCCCTTTGAACAGTTTGCAGTTTGCACTGAAACTGTCTTTTGGACCTTGAACTGTTTGGTTCCCAATGAAGTGCATTATATGGAGAAAAATGCTGGAATGTTTTCATCAAAAACCTTAATTTCTTTTCGACTGAAGAAAGAATGACATGGACATCTTGGATGACATGGGGGTGAGTACGTTTTTTCAAAAGGGAACTACTCCTTTAACTTTCAATGTCTTCCATCCAAACACGCCTTTCCCTTTTGGCACATGGCGTCCACATTTTACAACCCAATGAAATCCCAATTACAGATTAAAAAAAATATCTTGTCCCAATAAATAAATGTATCAGTCAGAAATACAAAAGTTTGTGGTTAGAAAGATTTTTTTTGAATTCTAAGAAAAGAATACCTAGCAAGGATGCATTAAATTGATTAAAAGTGACAGCAAATACTGTTTCAAATAAAATAACTGTTTTCAACATAATAATAAGAAATGTTTCCTGAGCAGAAAATCAGAATATTAGATTGATTTCTAAAGGTCGTGTAGTAATGAGGCGGAAAATTCAGCTTCGGACTACATGAATCAATTACATTTTAAAAATATTAGTACATGTCAGACTATGAAAGTAAAATGGGTTGTGAACACTGTCTTCAACAGACTGGATACTCACTGGAGGACACTGAGCTAATTTGTCTGCCGCCACCAGTTGTACGTTTAAATGCTTGCTTTGAGACTTCCCACGTGATTTGATCAGCCGTTGCAATACCTGCAAGCACACACACAATATTACTCTTGAAGACAGAGACAATAACATCATTCAGATAACAGATATTGTTAATACTTCTTTACAATCTGTGTTAAACGGGTGATGAACTGAGAAATCAAATTTTCCTTGAGCTTTTGACATCTAAGAGGTCATCATATTATTAGAATATCCTGTAAGTTTCAGAACTGAAACCTCCTTGTTAGTCCAATAAAAGCTTTTATTGACACCAGGCTCAGCAAACGACTCGTATTTAGAAGTGGGGAACTATGACGTCAAAGAGGATAAAACACCACCCCCTGCAGAAGAAGATCAACTCCTACTTCGACACGGCCGGTTTAGCCCCGCCCACCGATTCACGCATTACAAGCATAGCTAAATAACATTCCGGTTGCCATTTTACAACATAGGAAGTTTTCAAAACAATTTCCCCCGAGTGCATCGACGGGTTAGTTGAAACTCATTATAATATGCAAAACTGTTATCCACTCACAGCAGTGGGCGTTTACTTCCAAGTCCTCAGTTTGAGACGCCCATAAAAACTGAGCGTTTTTCAGCTAGGCTCAAAACTAGGGTACAAAATAGCCTGTTACTTATTCATTTTGATGTTTTTGAATGCAAAAACCAAGTGAACATCATAAGTTGACCTTAGACAACAATATAATAAAATTTAAAAAGCCAGTTCATGACCCCTTTAAAGAAATGCAAAGTGGATGGTAAAAAAACCCCCATTAATTTATACATAACTTTTTTTTTTTTGTTTACCTTGGGAGAAGACACTTTGACATGAACAATAATGGGAGCTAAAGAAGTCTTGATGAGCTGGGCTGGATGGTTGATCGTGTCAGCATCCAGCACAACCAGCTGAAGGGATCTTGCCAATTCAAAGATTCGCTCAATCTCACTCTGAACCTCCGCTGTCAGAAAGAGGAAAAATTCACAAAAACCAAGTGTCAGCAAGATGTCAACCCAAAGGTTTTCCGGAAATCTTTTAGTTGGACGGTTGTCTAATGTTTTTTTTAAAATGTTTCAGAATGTTCAGAAAACATTCAATAGTAACGTTTCCATTATTTATGCAAAAATAATCAAACTGAATGTGTCCTTATTCACATAACCAAAAAAAAAAAACAAATATTTTTTTATTATTATATTTTATAAACATTCAGAGAACTTTTCAGGGAAACATTTTCATAATTTAATGGGAATCTTAGTACTTGAAAACTTGGATATTTAAAGGGATACTCCACTTTTTTTGGAAATAGGCTAATTTTACAACTCCCCCAGAGTTAAGCAGTTGAGTTTTACCGTTTTCAGATGTATTCAGCCGGTTTTCTGATATTTACAGGAATATCAGTAACCAGACAGTTTCTGGTCTCATTGACTTCCATAGTATATATTTTTCCTACTATGGAAGTCAATGAGATCAGAAACTGTCTGGTTAATGACATTCTTCTAAATATTAGAAAATCGGCTGAATGGATTTGAACACGGTAAAACTCAACTGTTTAACTCTGGGGGAGTTGTAAAATTAGCCTATTTCCAAAAAAAGTGGAGTATCCCTTTAAACATGCTGATTTACTAGTAGGAAATATTTAATCAAAGGGATACTCACAAATGAAAATTTGGTAAGACTTTATTTTAAGGTGCTTGTAATAAGCAGTAATTAACAGTTAATAAGACCTTATAAGATGCATATAAGCATTAACTACTTCATATAACTTCTGAGGACGCTTTGTTTCACTTTTCCCGCTCTACTCAATCGTGCCGCCGACGAGCCTCACGACAGTTACAGCCAGGGTGAGTGTAGACTCCATCACCTGGGGTCCTGCTGGGTCATGACCACTCAGTTGCCTCTCCAGGTTCGTCTTGTTCTTTAATTAACCCTTAAATGAAGTAGTTAATGCTTATATGGATCTTATAAGGTCTTATAAGTGTCTTATTAACTGTTAATTACTGCTTATTACAAGCACCTTAAAATAAAGTGTTACCGAAAATTTTGTTATCATTTACCCACCCTCATGTTGTTCCAAATCACAAAATAACATATTTTGAAGAATGTTGGTAACCAAATAGTTTAGGTTCCCATTGATTTCCATTGTGAATAAAAATTACAATGAATGTCAAAAGGAAAAGTGTTTGGTTACCAACATTCTTCAAAATAACTTCCTTTGTAGGAACAACATGATGGAGAGTAAATCATGACTCAATTTCATTTTTGGTGAACTATCCCATTAAACTAACTTATGTTAGTTAAATGGCCAATAGCAATTACTGTAAAAAGGAGCTGACATACCCAGGTTGGATCTGGTGTTGGATCTCTCAATGATGGCTCTCTTACTAGGGTTATTCAGCACAGATCTCTTGGCTAAAGAGATATCTGCAGTTACTCTTGTGATTGATATCCTATAATTAGGAAATAAATATGGTGAAATTATCACAATGACAAAAAAAAAGTATTCAAAATCCACAACATTAAAAGTTGACCCTCACCTGCCTTCAAACCTGTGTTTCAGGAAGTCAAATAGTGCTTTCTGCATCATATCTGTCACCTGTGTTCAAACCCATGAGGACAGGAGAGTAAACACAAGGAACAAAAATGCATATGTAAAATAATGTGATCATTTTTATCAACATTAAACAGCATATACATCAAAACTGCCTTATGTTACTGAATGTTAAATTCACTCCATCAATGTTTTAATCATCTGAATCTGATCCAGACATAGTTTTTGACGAAAGCACAATTTTTTTTTCTTAGATTTTTTGCTCAAAATGTTGTTTTTTAATGCAACTTACCCACATTCAAGTGTTGATAAAAAGAATGCATAAAGGTAGAATAAAACTGGGGTTTCTTGCTTAAAAGCAGAGGCTATTCTTTGGATGTTCAGATATTCATATAACAAAATATTCTGGGAAATGATCAAAAATGCTGGCGGTAGCTGGCAACTTAAAAAACAAAACAACAATGCTTTTTTTAAAAAGAGTTAAGAAGCAATGGGAAACATCATCTAGCCAGGAAACAACAAAAATAAGAAGTCAGTCTGCAATAAAGTTTGTGAAGGAGCAGATGACATACAGTATATGCTTGCATAAAGAAATTAAAAGAGCAAAAAGCCGTTTAGCATTCACAGATCAATCAGGATATACACTTCAAGCCTTGCATGCCTTGAGATCTCATCTCTAATATTCAGATGGTGCATGCTAACACACATGTCACACTGATTTCTGGGATGGTGGATTTTTTTTTTCTGTTTCTAATTTCAAACCATGCTCCATTTTTTGAGACTGGCATGTTGTACCCAGAAGGTTGTTGCCTTGGCAACTCTGCTTGGAGATGATGACTGCTATTCAGTGACAAACCGACATCCCCTCTCGCCTGCTGCTTAAGAAGTGGTGCCTTGGTTACCATGTCTAAATATATACACACGCACACACCATAGGGATTGGGGGAGACCTACCTCATATCCCTTAAGTGATGGGCCAACTAAGACCACTGGCCTCATGGAAGGGACCACATCGTATGGAGGAATGTGCTCGGCCTGCAATTAAACAGCAATTTAGATGCGAAATAATATTCTGTCTATTTACACTACAATAACCCCATATTGATTACTACATGAAAAAAACCCTGCAATGGCTAGGGCCATTTTACAGAATTGATGGAACTGAAAAAATGAAATACAATGAACTCACCACTTTCTGTTTCTGTTTACCTGGGATGGTGGAAAAGAGGAATTTTAAAATCAGACACAAAAACAAATACTGTACATCAAAATCAGATGAAAAACATATTTCAAGGTCTGCTATTGTAAAAAATAAATTCATTCCATAATTTCTCTGGAAATTGCTTTAAAATCAGCTTCTGAAGTGATCTGGAACCCTTTAGTAAGGGTGAAGACTGAAGCTGACCTGCAGAAGCAGGGTTGGGCTTGAAGGTGCCTGACACCATTTCACCCAGACTGGACGAGGAGTTTCCACTGGACTTCCTGTGGGCGCGGAGTAAAGAAAAGAGCAAATTAGAGTTATAGTCTAGATGGGATGCACCCAAAAAGTGAAAGTGAGGAGCGGGAATCGGCCTACCTTACATATTTCAAGGGTGCTGTGTCCAAAAAAAAAAAAAAATGGTACCCAAGTGAAATTTTGAGTTTTTTACCTTCTAATTTCCATATCAAATTGGTCGCAAATCAAGTCGTTGGACCATTTTCCCCTAGTTTTTTGAGGAAATTAAGTTTCTAGATCTATAGTCAAAGGTCAGAGCAAAGATATATTGGAGGCCCACTGCCTTTTTTATGTATATATATTTGCAAAATCCAAACTTGTAAGGCGAGACACTACAGGTGAATAGGGTTTAAGTTTTTTTTACATTATAGATATCACCATGAAACTTCCTCAGTTGATTACTCACACAAGTATATAAAAATGTTTTATACGTTTTTGAAATTTGTATGTTTAATTATGCAAATTAGGCATTCTCTCATTAAATATGCACAATTTTGCATATATGTTCGGTCGATAGATCTGAACATATGATAAAGCCAGGTGCAAAATATTTTTTTTTCATTTTGTTTACACGCAAGATGAAAAAAAAAGTTCAGAGGTATTTCAGGATATATGCTTTCATTACCTAGGAAATCAAAATATACTGCCCAAACCTTTAAAAAAACGATTTTTTGACATATTTTTTAAAATTAAAATGTCACATAAATCAGGCCAGGGAACTTCATTACCTCATCTGGATTGCCTTCTTAAGAAACTTGGGGTAAATGGTCCAACGACTGAGCAAGACAGGCAATTTGGTGGCCATTTTGATATTTAAATTAGAAAAAAAACTAATTAGTTAAAAAAACTCAAAATTTCACTTGGGAACCATTTTTTTTTTTGATTCAGCACCCTTCCTGACTTGTACCCATCACTCTTAGAAAAAAGGGTTCTACATATGTAGCATAGGGTTCTTTACTCAACTGCAAAGGACCTTTTATGCAAAAAAAAATGATGATAATGACAAGAAAGAACCCTTTTGGCACAAAGGTTCTTTATAGGCTATTATTTATTCATATTTTACATTATTCTGCAACATTTTGCAGTTGTAATTAAATTATTGTTTATTAAACTGTAGTAGAAACTTAATATCACATTTTAATCATGCTGATTTTTGGAGGAATGGCACTCTTCGTGTGATATTGATTAATTACATTTTTTAACCCCCATATCTTGAATTTTGTGATCATTCATGCATTGCATTTTAGGGGTTACAAATACGTAGCGCTTTAGAACCCTTTAAGGTTCTATATCCACAAGTTTCCGAGGGGCGCTTCTGTAAAAAATAAAGTGGGTGAAACTTCCGGTGAGGCGGCGGAAGTTGCATTCCAATGGTGTTTTGTGTGTTAGTTAGCGAAGAGGCTAGCTGTTTTTCGGAGAATTATTTTACTATTTAAAGACGCAAATCTTTATGAGAGATGTCGTTACGGAGCTCAGGGACAACATGTGCTGTTCGCGGTTGTACGTATAACCGGACTAAACTAATTCAGTGGCTTAAACGTGATTGTTTTGAACATAAGCTGAAAACGAAATCAGAGTGATCCTGCCAACGACTGTAGTTTCCATCACCTCCCAAAAGACGACGAATCTTCCTGTGTACATTTGTTTAAATTCTTAATATTCTATAAACTCTATCAGCATGTGTCATATTCAAGTCTGTGTTCCCCTGTCTCCTCGCATGTTTTCAGTTCCCCATTAGTTTGATTAGTCTTCCCAGGTGTTTCTTGTTAACCACACCCCCTTGTTATCTTGTCTAGCTAGTTTCCCCCTGTATTTATACCCCTGTAGTTTAGTTGTTCCTGGTCAGTCGTTGATGTTCCTGTCTTGATGTTCCGTGTTCCTGCTCTTAGTTTCTGGTTAAGTTACATGTTTGTATTTTATTAAATAAGTTCTGCACATGGATTCTCTCTGCACTTCATTCCTTGCCCAACGTGACAGCATGTGATTGGCTGTTCGTTACTGATGTTACACCTAAACTCAGGAGTTGACAGAATACCAAATGTGCCAGTTAATGTATTCCAGTTGCACATTCATTTATAATTTTGAATAAACTCCAAAGCACAATGACTAAGTGTGTATTTTTTATTTTAATTGTTTGTCAGCTCGCACAACTGTCTGTCACCATGCCTTGATGAGTATTGATTATTAATAATATTATTATAATACTCCCAACCAACTACTGCGGAGGGTAAAGGTACTGTTATTTCACCCTTTTGAATTTCGTTGAGGTTGTGTTCCCACATCGTTAGCTAGTTTGGATTGCTATAACTTGAATGACTGTCAACTGTTGAATGAACGAATGTCAAGCATGTCAAGTCGCGCTTTGTTTACTTCCAACCGGAAGTCGCGCCCACTTTTGACGCAAGGCCTCATGGGGCGTAGGAAACTTGTGGATAGAACCTTTTCTTCTAAGAGCATTTATATAAATGCTCCTCATCTCTTATAGAAGTCTATTTTTCTAAAATCTGTCTAGTCTATTAATTAAGGTCTATGTTCAGAATGAAATACTAACAGACATTATGTGATGGAGAGACCTTGAAGTTGTCTTCCATTACTGTTTTTATTGTGTTCGTACTGTTCTTATGCATATTTTAACATTTATGTGGGGTTCGCTGGTTTATATTTCTTGTTTTATCTGAGTGGGCGTGGCCTCAAAGAAAGCACAAACCTAGTGAAATGCTCATTTTAGCTAATTTATGGAAATTTGCAAATGTATGTTTTGGCTTTATCCATCCTTTTTTATTGTGTTTACTAACTCTTGTTCTTAATCATCTTATGTATTTATTTATGTATTTATCATATGGTGAGACAAGAGTTGGCTTTAAAAACGGTATGTTCAAATTAGTAAGAGCAGGAAAGATGTGTATTTAAGATTTAAGCAATAGTGGACAGATTGTGGTTTTAGTGTAAATTTGAAGTGCATGCTGGCGAGTGCAGTGAATTGCTGAAGAGGGAACTGTTTTTAGTACCTAGCAGTTCTAGTTTTAAGACTGTTTTTATTAAAAACCTTAGTTTTATTCATGCTGTTAACCATATTTATTTGCACATTTTGCACATCCACTTTAAAAACATATTTTTGGACACCAAAACCACTTCTGTGTTTACACCGTGATCTTTCCAGTGATCGCTTATGTCCCTATCATACATAATATATGATATACTGCTATTATACAGTATATTATACCAACTATACCCACTATAAACCCTATTCACCCAAGTTTTGGAGTCCAGCTATCTCAGAAATGAAGAGTCATTTTGTTTTTAATTATATTTTGTGTGAAATTTTGAAAGTTTTCCATTTTTAATCTAATTTTGGGTAAATTTTTGGCAGCCTGTCTCAAGAAAAAAGATTTTAGCAGACAGAATAGTGTATGTTATCTGTTATATTTAAAGCAAGTCAATTATTATTATTTTATAAACCCTATATTTCCCCCCCCCTTTGTTAAGGACAGAACGGCAAAGAAGTATACAGTAAATGCCTTTGTCCTTCAAACACTATCAGAGAGAGTGTTGAGGTATAACTACAGTGTGACTCAACACTGCTGATCAACGCAGCATCTCATTCAAAGGGTTTATGTGTCATTTCTTTAAATAAATATCTCCGAGTATATGAAAGGACATTGCACCAATTCCAAAATTAGTTGGCCCATGAATACCTATCTTGTGTTCAAAATAGAACAGCACTGCATCAAACAATGAGGAGGTAAAGTGTATATGTAATCATCTTGGAACTACACGGTGGAAATCTCTTCCGTCTGAACCGCCGTTTTGAGTTCGCTCGGGCCGTACCCTCTTCTGTCTGTGTGTGTGTTGTGTTCAGTGTAGCGCGTTCGTGTTCATTTTCGGCCTCGTGAGTTCATGTTGTCATGTTTTGTGTGGACACAGTCGGTTGACTGCGCATTCGTGTCCTGTTTTGCCTGAGCTCTATTGTCTTGATTATTGATCGCCCCACCTACTCTCCCTTGTTACCCTCCTGATTTCTTCTCCTATTTATTCTCTTTGGGTTTGCAGTCCTGTGCCAGCTCGTTGTCTAACGTTCCTGAGTTCCTGCCCTTCCCTGCCCAGTCCAGCTGCGAGTCATGTTAAATAAAGCCCATAACTTATCTTGAGTTCTCACCTCATCCCTTACCCCAAACCCTGACAATAATACATATCTTTGCACCTCAAGAGCTGTTTGAGATGTTTGAGTTGGGGGACCAAGTGCCATTATTGCGCTAGGTGCCAATAATGCTGCAGAATAGACGTACTTCACCCGTAAGGCTTGGTGTAACACTCATTGCTCTCATGTTCTCCAGTCTTACCCGTGGAAGCGGCCCCTTTTTTGCTCCTGCTGTAAGCGAATGTTCTCCAGTTTTAAGGGACTGGGGATGAAACCGATATCACAACCTTCCTTCACCAGTCGCCCAATCCACCAGTCATTGTTGTACTTCTGTGGAAATACAGAGAGGACAAAGGAATGAGTATAAAGTCCATTTATAAACATCCTAATATGTGAAGACAGCTAGACAGGCTCTCATTATATAAATGCCTTCGTCACCTCCTTGATGTGAAGGAAGTCTTTTGCATCAAAGGAAACGGCAGTGCCAGCGACAGGGACATCCTCATCTAGGGCACCACAGTAGCTGACGTTTGTTCTCACAGCGAAGGCCACTGCCTTGGCCTGAGATAGATACAGTAAAGCACATAGTGATGAATGGCATGTCAGTGGGGTTTTAATCACTACAAATTTGTTTCTCCAGCAACCAGATAACAGAAACTAATTGCATCAGAAAACTTTTTAAAGATAACATATTATGCCCTTTTTCTCAAAAACAAGTTGATTTTGTTTTTGGAGTCTACTAGAAGAGGTTCACAAAATTCACGGTTCGGTTCGATACTATACACTTGTGTCACGGTTTGGTACAGTTCAGTACGTTTTTGATATAGCAAAAAGAAAGAAATGCCAGATAAATGTCCTTGATATAAATTTTTTTATTATATTTTTATTAAAACTAACATCAAAAGTCATAACATCATTTTTTTTTACTTTGAGCAATGATGGAGCTATACTTGACTTTTCTTAGGAGCATACAAAACAAAACAGCTCCTTGGACAAAATGAAATGTAATATTGTAGTAGTTATATACAAAGGTTTATTTTAGTACAGATTAACATTTGAGGGCAGCAATTGTGCTCATAATGTCAAAATAAAACTGACGTGATGTTACTTGAAAGCATTATAGCCTACTATTCCTGCCAAACTTCCATGGTTACAGTTAGTAGTGTTACTACAGTAAATCCATGGTGAATGTTGCTGATCTGTGGACACTGATTAGTTAATTCATGGCACAATGTTTCTTTCTGGTTTCCATGTCAGCACGGTTTGATCCGTTAATAACGGAGAAATGTGAATGTTTCTCACTAGATCTCGCAGCGATGTTATTACTTCAGCGGCGAATTCAAATGCTTTCTTTACTGGATTTGGCTGTGTAGTAACAGTGCTGATTGTCAACATCGACTCGCGCTGCATTGGTCCAAACTGATAAACGGTCCGATTACATTACATTTGACGTTTCATGTTGGGCAATGTTCATGTCAGCATCTATGAGCGCGCCTACATTTGAAATAATGAAATTGGTCGGCAGACAAAATGGGCCAATGAATGGTTAAAAAATGCGTACTGAAAACTGAACCGAAAGCCTGAACAGTTCAATACGAATACGTGTATCGTTACACTCCTAGTTTTCATGAATGTAAAAAAGATAAATAAAATTTCACATATTTTATATTGTAGAAGCACTTCTCTTCTCAGTCTGTCATAAACAGAGCGTTTCCTGCCTCAATAAAGCCGCAACTTCCGAAAAGCACAATGTGATTGGTTGTGGTTAGTCATAACCGTGTGTTTCAACCACTGATAATGATATTCTATATAAATCAGTGGTTTCCAAGGGGGTAATCCATTGACCGGAAGTTGAAGCCGGCCGCGTGCCGCCATTTTGTAGCAGAACTTCACTTGCGTTAGCATTTCCATTGACTCCCATTCATTTTGGCGTCACTTTGACAGTGAATAACTTTACATCGGAGGCATTTGAAGACTCCAGTTGTCTATTATTTATTTCCAAAGAAACACCACAATGTATAAAATGCTCCATTACCTTGTAGCTTATGTTATGGCCCCGTAGAAGCAGTTTTTTGTAAAAGTAGGCTAACGATTGCGTCATGCCCAGTAGAGAGATTACCGTATGGACAGGAGAAGAAGCTTGCGGGCAATCGGGGAAACGTGGAGGCAAAATGACAAAATAATTAATCAGAATACCTAGCAAAAGTTTCTCCTGCTCCTAGCTCATGGACAGCTCCTACTCACACTCTCCACCTCTGCAAGTTTCGGAAGGGAACGATTCAGATTTCTGATGCCACAGCCACTAGAAGACAGACGGGTTGCTCACGTCACATCTACGTCATCAAGCTCTGTTTGAGTCGGTTTGAGTCTGCGTGTCAGGAACGGAAGTCCTAAAAAATCTCTAAAAATGGGCTTCACTTGTCTCAATTGAGTTCCAATGAGATGGCTCTGTCCACTTCTTTTACTGTCTTTGGTGGTTTCAACACACAACTTGCGCAACTCAACCAGACCGTGTCCCTTTTTTTGGATGGGAATTATTTAAATGATGGATACCGTGACGTATACATTCCCGGAAGAAAAATTAAGACTACAATTGAGGCGTCTTAGCAACAGTGCGTACTGATATATAGAACAACTCCCTTTGGAGTGGACTTTGTAACTTTGCAGATATTCTTTTTCATATTTCCAACATTATACACTAAAGAAAGCTGTACAAAAGAATAACAGGAACCCTTTAACTAATTTGAAAAATAAAACAGGCATAAATACAGATCTCTCTCTGGTTAAGAAGTCTGACCTTTGCCCTCTCCAGCTGAACGGTGGCCTGCTGTTCTTTCTCCTGCCTGCCGCCCTGCTCCTCGTCCAGAGAGACATCCGAGTCAGACGGTCTGCTAGTGTAGGAATCGGCGGAACCCTGCACACATGTGAAAACCCATCAAATCAATGTACTGTCATTCCCACACATCCAATAAACAAAGATTTGCTCTTGCTTGTCAATACTGACACACATGTATTATACTATCTATGCACACAGTAATTTTATTATGATATCTAAATAGGTTTAGCCTGTGTTGAAATGTTTTGGTTTAAATAACTTTTCATTGCAGTGCATCAAGCAGAAGCTGATAGTTTTACTAATATCTCATGATTAGGTTGGGTTGGAAAAGGGTTGGACCAGTAAATAGTGAAATGACACATTATCAAGGAGAATGTTACAAGCATGAATGTCTTCATATTCGTATAGGGAGGGAGTTTAAATGATGGGTAAAGATACAAAAAAAGGTAAGATAAATGAGGACTTTGTGTATCACTGCAATATTTCTTCCACCACATAATTAAAAAAAAACACACCTTTTGATTAAAAAGTCATACACAATCCACTATTAATGATGAAATTTCCACAAATATTAAGCAACACAATAGTTTTCGTTAATAAGTAATGTTTCTCGAGCACCAAATCAGCATATTACAATTATTTCTCATGATTTCAACAGTTATTTTAAAATTGACTAATACTGACTGTATATCAATATTACTGTTTTTTGTTGTATTTTTGATAAATAAATGCAGCCTTGGTGAGCAGAGCACAAGATAAAAACATCAAACATATCTATGAAATGATAAATGATACAAAGTGAAATACTAGGAATTCCACCTTAATTTTCCCTAAAAAGGCACAGAAATAGGCAGTTCCCAGTTTGCATTGTGAGGAACATGAAATTGCAAATAACAAGTTAACATACATTATCACAAAGAGGCGACAAGGCAGATGTGACACTTATGAAACCAAGTCCTTTAAGAGTGCAGTAAACGGGTCTGATGCAGACTTCACAGTGTTTGTAAAGCTGAGAAATACAGTCATGTGCAGATCTGAACAAGATCAAATCAAAGACAGAATTATTGAAGCAGTCAGAACTATGACATCTTGGTCAAGGGATTATACTGTAATCTATTACTGGAAATGAGAAAGAGATAGGGAGAAAGGATCAACAGTCAAAAACAAAATACAAAAAGACAAACTCTATAATGGAGAGGAAATTCCTCCTGAGAGAAAAAAATCTTAGGGATCTCACAAACTGCAAGTCAGGGATTTAAATACGCAGTCAAACATTTATCATCAAATTCTCCCAAGAACAAATCATCTTAGCTTTATTATTTACATGAATTTATAGAAAGTACTAATTGTCTAATTGTCAAATCTGAACTTACACAACATAAATAATCTTTTATTTTCCTTGAACAGCAGGAAACTACTGCAAACCGATATATATGAACAGATGGATCCTCAGAAGGAATATCGTAGATATAAACCCCACATTAAGTGAGATGGAGGAGTCTGTCAAAAACGGAATGGCACTTTACTGAGACGCATTAAAATTGCAAAAGCAACATGTGCTTTGATTTCCTAATCAAAAGATTGTGCTCAAAGCCAAAAGATGCTTTGAAGGTTCATTAACCATATAGTTGAGTCCCATAAGAACATCCACTAATCCTATAATCCACTAATATTCTCTTCATAACTGCAATACAGTCATCCAGCATCTAATACAGCACTTCTTTACTTCACCACCAGCAATAGGCGCATTTCCACCGCAATTACCAGGAACTATTTGTCCCAGGAACTTTTTTTGCCCCAGACCGCTTGCTTACTGCATTTAGACTGCGTCTAAAGATATCCAAGGCTAGATGTCTCACGGCGGAGTCTTTATCGTCATCACCGGTGGCCATCTTGTCACAGGCAGGGTTTCTGGTGGGCTCTGTGGTATCTGATGTAAGATGAGTGATCAGCAAGAACACGAATACTCTTATCTTGTTGAAATCTTGACGGATATACAAACGGTTTGGTTTCTTACAAATGTTATCAACGTGGCTATAATTCTGGATGATTATTTATTTATATATACACTTATTATTCATAAGCATGCAGTCAGTGGCATAACTACATCTTTGACGCTCATAAAAAAACAGACCGTTTGAAAATCGGTAGAAAATTGAGCAAGTTACGGTTATTTAAAAAGTACATGCACCATTAAAACAATGTTACGAGTGAGTGAGCTGCCTGTGACAAGATGGCCGCCAGGTGCTGACGTCGACCTCCACTGGGGTTGACGTTCCTGCGGTGGAAACGCGGCTTATGCCATTATATGAATGTTAATTTTATAATCTTATTACAGAATCTTTGACGTGTCGATTATAAAAAAATCTGTAAAAACAGTACATTAATGCACTTACAATGCATATGAAATTCTAAGTTCGTGAAGCCCGCTTAAATGATATTCAAGACCCCCTAAAATTAAATGATTAACTCTGTTACCACCATCAAAATCTGTCTGAGATCTTGCTTCAATGCTTGCTGAGAACAGAAATCTACGTAACATATCAGATTTTACAATGAAAACATTGAAGTTTATTTCATTAGGTATTGTTATATCCTTTGTATACATGCATCCATGTTGTATCCATTGTATTTTATGCTCCATATTAAGTCCTTTAAAAGGACAATAATAATGAAGGTGGTATTACTTAATGTGTCATTTTATCTTACAACATATTACATAAAATGTCTTAAAGCTGTCTGGACAAATAACATCAGTGTATCCCCTGATGCAGTTTGACAGATGATGCCCATTTCTATCTTTTCTGTGTTGGTGTGGGCTCCTGAGTCGTCCTCTTGACTGAAGTCTGATTTTGTTACCATCACAAGAGCTGTAAAATACACACTGTCCCTCACGTAACGAACAGCAAACCTCAGAGAGATTGTACTCTGCACCAAACCTAATGTAGAGCAAAAAAATAAAGACTATGGACTAACAGAACACCATAAATGGGAGTATCATGACAGACAAAGATCTATGAAATGATCCGGCTGCGTTCTTTAATTTGCGCATCGTAAGTAGATCACATGCTGAACTTTCCAATCCCATCAGAGCTTTTTTTGGAATTGCGCTCTCATTGGTGCCTTGACATTATTCGATTATTCATCCGTCTCGGAGATCCGAATCGGACGACAGACGTTACCTAGCAACACGCCCCCTTTTCTCGGATTTCTCCTCTCGGACATGTAAGAATGAATTGTTTTCATTGTTTTTGAACCGCTTTGGTATTTTAAATGACAATTATAATCACTCGTATTACTACGTCCCCTGTAGGTATGGGAATCAGTTGTTGTGAGTGCAATTACTAACGTTGCTAGCGTTGCTAACAGAAGATTAACATGAAAAACATTACATTTTCAAGTTCAAATGGCTGCGTTTTGATAAGGTGTAGTCATAATATATATTTTTTAAGGTTAGTGCCTGTTACTCGGCCAGTGCTACCATTATAACAGCTTTCCGGGTGGCGTCCATTTTTTTCTCCGACTCGGACACGCAAAACATAATGGAACGCTTGAAGTGTGGAGGTGACGTCAAATCCGAGGTCCGAGACGGTTCGTTGGGTATACAGTAATAGAACGCACCATTACATTCAGGGTTTTTCCTGGGATAAAAACGGTCCTCGGTTGTGGTCCACTCCACATGCACAAAGTACCACATACCCATGTAAACTGCGAGCCCAGAAAATCCTAAATAAATGCAAAGAAACAGTTTGTAATATTAACTTATCCCATTTATTCATGAAATAAAAAATAATCACTGTCAGGACAGATCATAAAACAAATAAGCTTAGAAAAATTTTATATTTAAAAATCTCTAAATTTAAATGTAAAAAGTCACCAAATGAATGATTTGAAAAGGGAACGACAAAGTATCACATTACATAGAAAAAGTGGTAGTCAAAAATTATTATTTTGCATTTTGTATATAGCCTATATATAATATAAATATATATATATGAAGAGTTCAGATGCAAAAGCCTCTAAATGCCATTTGAAATTTTCTTCTAAAATGGTCATTTTTATCAAGCTTGTATATTCAAGTTCAGTAATTTCACTTAAATGACAATTAATAGGTAATCCTCATTGCAATTTAAGTGAAATTACTGAACTTAAATATACAAGCTTGATAAAAATGATCATTCTAGAAGAAAATTTCAAATGGCACTTAGAGGCTTTTGCATCTGAACTCTTCATATATAGCCTATATATAATATAAAACATGCTATATCCCTCACACCATTACAGCAGCACCACCAGCCTGAAGCGTTGATAAATGGCCATATTTATCCTGCTTTCATTGTCACACCAAATTCTGACCCTTCCATCTGAATTTTGTAGCAGAAATCGAGACCCATCAGACCAGCAATGTTTTTCCAATCGTCTATTGTCCAATTTTGGTGAGCTCATGCGAATTGTATAGCCTCAGTTTCCCGCTCTTATCCAACAGAAGAGGCAACCGGTGTCTATAGGCCGTCTACTTCAAGGTTCGACATGTTTAGAGATGCTCTTCTGCAGAACTCGGTTGTAACGAGTGGTTATAAGAGTTACTGGCACCTATCAGCTCGAACCAGTTTGCCATTCCCCTCTAACCTCTGAAATCAACAAGGAATTTTCGCCCACAGACCTGCTGGCCCGCTCACTGGATATTTTCTCATTTTCTGACCAGATGGTTATGTATGTAAATCCCAGTAGATCAGCAGTTTCTGAAACACTCAGACCAGCCCATCTGACACCGACAACCATGCCACATTCATAATCACTTAAATCACCATTCTTTCTCAGTTTGAACTTCAGTAGATAGTCTTGACCATGTCTACATGCATAAATGCATTGACTTGCTGCCATGTGATTGGCTGATCAGATATTTATATAACAAGCATTTGAACAGGTGTACCTAATAAAGTGACCGGTGAGTGTGAATGTGACCCGAACTGATAAAAGGCTGTAGAGATACAGGAGATTGGTGAAGCCCATTATGCCAAAGACAAGCACACACACCTTCCAGCAGAAACGCCTCATCAGAGAGAAACTGATTCTAT